CGGGGCAGCAGACTTCCCCTGGGGGTTTGCACATCGCCGGATTGATAGCCCCACATGTCTGCATGCCTGCTGGGCAGCATCTCCTGTTTGGTTGGCATACAGGCTTGTCTCTGGAGCAGCATCCAGTTGTACACTATTTATTCGTCCGTTGTTAGAAGGATTGATCCATGTGGTCGCCTTCGAAGGCGGGTTTAACTTACGCAGGTAGTTGAAGATGGGCAACATCCGGCACCACATGGGACTATGTGAAAGAAAATAAATCTGGATCAGCCCCTTGTATCTTTCAATGGTTGTAGGATAAGCTGAATGGATCTACTGACAAGTTCCGGGTCGACATGTCCTGGCTTGCCTTTTGTCAACCGTGCTGTCGAGCAGATCATCGTGGCCGCCGAATAGACTGAAAAACTCCGCTCGTTTTGCGAATATATCTTTGGTTGAAGATGGATCTGATTCATGCATAGAAGGGATACCCCGTTCCCCTTCTTCTTCGAGGGCAAAGGGGTTCCGAGATAGGAGGGCAAAGGCCACCGATAATACCAGAATAACCTTCATTTTCGGGGATGTGGAATATACCCAGACGTGAACATGAAGGAAACAGGAAACTGTGATCTAGAAAATGACATGAAAAGGTCTCCCTCTTCAGGGGAATGAGCCAGATATTATATCCCCCCATTCTGAAATATCTCTCAGCAATAAGGCAAAAGATAACGAGGCTCAGCAATAAAGATCCCCGCTGGCCGAGGACTCACACCCGTCCATCACCAATAGTCGAGACGTGTATCTCGGATTCGTTTCTCAAGCAGGGTACATCATCAGGCTTCGAAGAACAAGGGGAAATCTGCCCCCTTGGGTCTCTCGACTAGAGGTAGACTTTCAACTTCCCACATAATTGCAGGTGAAGGTATCGGTAGCCAGGCTCGGATGCAGAATGAGGCTGAACTTCTCCTCGCAAAAGACGTGGACGACTCCGCCTCGACAGATGTAGCACAAACTTTGTCGTAGCTCGTATACTTGGAGAGTTTGTCTGGTGTCATGTCAGATGTAATTCTTGTCTTGACGGACTGGAGTTTGGATGGGATGGAGTGTGTAGTGGAAAGTAAATAAAACCGTCCAGCAGCTAGGGGTGCCAAGATATATTTACGAACCTCACCTCTCTCCACAGCCACGACCCAACCACAACGCCCTTCATTGCTCTGCAGAAACACGATCTTTGATCGACAGCAGGCCTCCGTCTCCCCTATTTATAGTCTGAACATTCCGGATTGCCCACTGCCATCCTTGATGCCGAGATCCAGATTCAGCACAGACATCAAGCCAGTGTGTAGGCACATCATTGCGCCGCCCCCGCTTCCCGTCAAATACCCCTAGGCTTGCCAACCTTGATGAGGACTCAGGTACGGACATGCTTGATTCTGCATTGAATCTAATTATCTAGCGTGTCATGTTTCTTGTCTCTCGGAACCCCTGGCTCGAGCACGGGATTCCCAGACACAGCCTTCAGCAGAAAGCATTACCTCTCCCTTTCTGGAGACTGACCTTGACGATCCAATATGGCGTGTATTAACATCTCACAGAGCAAACTATTGTTTCTTTGCCCTCTGCATCTTGTATTTACCATGGATATAATCCCTTGCAAAGGTCAATAGCAAGGCTACATGTTTGAACTTGAAATTTGTTTACATTGTGAACACCAACTTTGTTTTCACTACAAGCATATGCTAACAAAGTCAGCAGATGTATTAAACAACTATTGAACCCTCCACAGCATTGTGTATGTTCTTCCCGATGCTCTCATTGGAACATTATACTGTCATATTCCTTCAGCCTTCATCCATACCTCATCAGGCGTCATCGGGGAATTGCTCTCCTTGATCCCACTATATGAAAGTGATTAGCAAGGCCAACAACCACCTGAAGTTCCCAAATAATCCCTTATGCCCCTCCAACTTTATATTCCTCATTCACCAGAAAACCAGTGGCAGACAGGAGATGCACCGCTCACATGTTCAACAATACACCCAGCCTCCCACCTAAACCGATCCACAACCTCTCCAACCATGCTAGATTGATAATTCAGCCAACCAAACTCCCCCTCAAAAGCCGTCCGGAGAACCGTAATCTGCAGCCCACTCCAGAATGGGCCCAGAGCATCGAGCGCCGCATTGGGGCCATCCTCTGCCATTGGATTGTGGTTCTGCACGCATCGACCACCAGTATAGGTTGGTTTAATTAGCATGTACCCATATCACTCCTCCAAGGAGACCACCTGCTTTCTAGCGATACGCCCACCAGAGCGATATTCGCCTATATCTCACCACAGACAGCCAGAGCCAGTCCATTATACGTACAATATACGTCGAAGAGATATACTCAAACGCCTCCGTGAGATTCTTTCGGACCAGAAATGCTTCAGCGAATATATCGAATCTTGCCTCCGTCTCCGCCTCGGTGGGTGCTGGGTCCATCGCTACGCAGGGCGGTGGAGTCACGACGGCACCCTGTCTGGCATTTATGATGACTTTGCTTGGTGGAGCGGAGATGGCGGTTCCGGTCCCGGTGTTGGGACGTGGGTTGGGTGCTGCGAGGGCTGTGAGGGGCGCTAGCAGGAGCGCGAAGAGTGGGAGGGTGCGCATTTTTGTGTTTTCTTTCTTTCTTTTTTTCTTCTGGAGGACGGGTTCTCAAGATTGTGGAGAGACAGGGGGTGGGAACGAGTGTTGAGATGCGTTTCTAGGAGGAGGGGGGATGTAAGGGGGTTTTTATATTGGGTTTATATAGAGCTTGCCTGGGACCATCCCTGAGTCGGGGGCGGGGAAACCCTGTCGACACATGGACTGGTAGGTAGCTTTAGGGATATTAAATAAATATAAACAATACATCCCTGGGAGGTTTGAGCTGGTTCAACAAAAGGGGACATAGCAATATAGTTAAATTAGCCTATTAAATAAACCCAATCATAAAAAGGTATTTATCTACTAGTAGCTAGAAATGATATGCATCCATCCAATACCATGCTACATTAGGCATATTACCCTGCCTTCACACATACCAAGTTTTTTCACTTCACTCCATATATCAAGCGCTTGGCTACTCACTTCTCGGCAACTGTTTCATCCTCGATCCGCCGTAAATTCGGGAACAAGGGGGGGGTTCCGTCAACCCGACAGGCGACGCCGATGCCGAACATGGATGATGCATCACGGACTACGGGGATTATCCTGGATGCTCAGCGGCGGGCGAGCGGGAAAGGGAGACTTTAGTTGATCATTTGTTATATGAAGTGATTGGCATGCTTATCATGATGAAGGGGGTTGAACGAATGATTTATGGTGCATTCCTCTTAACAAAAGAAAAATGTTCAAATCTGGCGATGTTGCTTGATTGCGTTGGCTTGCCTGGTGTGTTTGTATATTACCAAAGTTGTTCTTTTACTATGCTAGAGTCGTTCTCGAATTTTCGTCTAGGCCCTAGTGGGCGATTGAGCCTTAGAAAATTAGACGGGAGTGACGTTGTTGAATGCCCGGGGCTTAAGGTTGTCACTGGACAAGTACCCCATCAAAAGGGAACGTAGAGAAAAACATAAACGGGAATATAAACCCGTCAAAGTTAAAAAGAATTCCCGTGTTTATTTCTTTCAAGCTAAAAAAAAACACAGTGTAAGAGAAGACACCACAGGGTCAAAAAACCACCAGAACCCGCTCACTCCAACTCCCTCGTCACATTCGAAAACTCGCCCTTCTCCAACTTCGTCTTCCAGAATATAGGGTTCGTATCGCTGAAGCCATGCTTCACCCATCCGTCCTCCTTCACATGGTACAGATTGATATAACCACCCGAGTATGCATCTCTATGCGTCGCAGCGAGAATACTCCGTCTACCCAGCTCCAGGGCCTCCTCATCCTCTAGCTCATAATGGTATTCGGCATCCAGCACACCGTACGCAAAGGTTTGGCCGGAGCCAACACAGAAGAGATTTCCGGCTAGTCGTGTTCCATCTGAATCGATGTAATAGAGGGCTGGTCCTTCTTGCGGAGTTACACCGGCGCACATGGTGCCCATACTCAGGCCCATGCCCTTGTAGTTGTAGACGAGGTTGGCGAGGATCTTGGACGCGGCGGCGACGGAGATGCGGCGTTTGTGGCGGAGTTCGTGGAGACGGCATTGCATGCCCAGGTAGGCGAGCCAGTATTGGCAGTCCTAGTAAACAATGGTAAGTCTGGCTGCCTCTAGGGTTGAAAATATCGGGCTGCAAGCTAGATAGCATGCAAACGTTGATGTAGCATAGAAATTGATATGACATTATAGATGAAAGATGGTGATTGGAGAAACATACAGCAGCACCACCGGCCATGGTCCCCAGCAAACAGCTGTTGATCTCGATAACCTTCTTCACCGTCTGGCTGGCTATCCAGTTGCCTGCTGTAGCTCTGGAATCTGTCGCCACGATGATCCCCCCCTTGAATCTAAACGCGAGAGTCGTAGTGCCATGGGCGATTTTGATGGGGCAGTCTGGGTTGGCATGGTCGTCTGTGGCAGCACGGAGGAAGGCAGCGGGCTAAACAAGGGAGCTGTCAGCTGCGCAACACACAACAGCGGCAGATACGAGCGTGTATCGACATGGCAAGATGGAGCTCAGTACTCACTCTGTCGACGGGAGGGAGAGCAAATCTGAGAGACAACGGCGGTAACGACTCTGTAAGCTCCTGATCTTCCGACTGGGAGTAGCCCTCGTTCTGGAACATGGGGCGGGAGTACTGGGCGACGAGGGTATCCATGGTGGGCGCAGCGTAGAGTAAAGCAGACAGCAAAGCAGAGAAGAGGAGGAAACGGGGATAGTGTACACGGAGAGAGAGGGTTGGAGCTGGCGTGGAGGTGATGTTGGAGCTGGAGCTTTCCGGCGTTGACGTTGGAGCTTCGCGTCACAGCTGGCGCCTGTGCAGTCACGTGGCGTGGGCCGCGCAGCCCTAACTAGCCAAACTGGGCCAGCTGAGGTACCCAAAGTCGGAGGTATGGCCGAGTGGTCTAAGGCGCTGCATTTAAGTTTTTCCGGAAACTCTGCAGTGAACGAAAGTTCGCGTGCGTTCAAATCGCGCTGCCTCCATTATCTTTCTTTTTGGTTTTTTTTTTTTATTCTATTTACCAGTTCAGGTGTTGCCTTTTACTATGGCTGAATAGCCTAGGAGTTCACAGGATAGCTAGCCCGCCGGCAAAGCACCGCAAATATGAATCGGCATCTGGAGGAATTCCTACATATCTTGACATCTGTTGTATGTATGGAGATCTACATCGAAAGCAGCTTTCTTCCCGAATACACCTAAGAGGGTAGGGGATGGAGAAGTTGATAGAACGGAATGTATATCCAGAGGAGGAGATTGGGTCATTCTTGACTCTTGTGCTGCCTATATACGACACGGAAACACGGAAGTGGCATCCAAGTCTCGCATTCCGAATGACTTGCTAGCAAGTTAATTATTGAAACGGTAATCTTTACGAGTTGAGTATTTGTTAATTAGCCCACCAGAAACTTGAATCTGAGAAGGGTCGGGATCAATTTGTCAATCTCCCAGTCTGCTATTTTGTAAAGGGGTTATACCCAAATGACTCCCCAAGCAACAGCAAGATGCAAGAAGAGTAATCGTTTAATAAAATACTTTATTCTCTGGCTATTAATACTACCTATTAAGCCGTTGGCAGTGGTGTATCATATGCTTGCTATGATCCGCCCCATTAGAACCAAAGCGCCCAGTCAATCAAAGCCCCATAGCATTCCTATCACTCCAACCCCCCCTTGCTTCCGTATTACTAAATTCACAGACTGCCGATTTTTAAAAGCGTAAACACCCCGCGGACTCCGGAGAATACCCCATAATCATACCGTAAACGAACCAATCCCAAATAAAAAATACTTACCGTTCGATGACTATCATAGAAACGTATAAAGGGAAACACCGGTTTCCAACCGAACAAAAACGACCTCCACGATAAACCCCACAAACAACCCCTTACGCAGTAACAGGCTGCGGCGCCGACTCCTCACCCACTTCCTCCTGTGTTCGCTGCGGCATCAGATTCGTTCCCATTCCCGCAGCAGCCGATGGGATAGGCTCGAGACTGGGCTCCCATCCCTTAAGGTCTGCCTCGGCGTCGTTGAGAATGGCGCGAGCCTGGTCGCCTTCCGTGTAGGCTGCACGAGTATCTCCGGGCACGAGTGGAGTGTCGTCGAGCAGATTTAGGAGACGCCGGCCGTGGCGGGCGAGGATGATTTGTTTCTCAGCCCGCTCGATGGTGGCGGCGAGATTGATATCGAAGGCTTCCTTGAGCTTTTGGCGGGTCTGTGAGGGTAGAAAAGGGGGGTTGGTTAGCTTGCCCCTTTTCGAATACATATATTCAACCCGTGGAATAAGGGGCAAGGAATGAAAGTGCAAAAGAACATACGATATTTGTCAACTGCGCCTCAGCAACCAACGTCTGCGCCTCCGCCCTCACAAGCTCCTGCTCCAGCGAAACAAGCTTGCTACTAGTTGGATCCTTAATCTTCTGCTTCTGAATCTCATCCACAATCTTGGCCTTGTAATCTCTAGCAGGCTGTACCGACCCCTCCGTATTTCGAATCGACTTCAGCACAGTCCGATAGTCTTCCAGATTCTGCGCATACAAGTCCTCCTGCTCTCCCATCTCCGCAAGCAATACGCCCAGCTTATCACTGAGGTCAGAAATGGCTGCATCGCCTGTCGATTCGCCCCATTCGGACAACTGGGAGGCAATAGAGACGCGGTCGCGGCCTGCAGCTTCGTACGAGTCGATGGCATGGTTCTCCGTCTTGATTAGCTTGAAGAGACGCTTGCTTAGTTCCGGCTGCTGGATGCCACGCAGGGTGGACATCGTAAGGCGGTGTTTGATGGGACGATCCATGACGACACTTCTTCTGCTGCGGATTGAGCGTGAGCGGTTCCTGGTGGTGTGTATCGCCGGGAACGGGGTGGGCGCTGTTTGTTAGACAAGAGTTATCGCAGGAGCGGCAATGAGGTTGGGGGAATTGGGAGAGGGGAATTAGTTTCTCACATCTTGCTGGTATTATTTGGTGGTTTAGTCGAAGGTGCGCGGTGGGATTAGCAAATACTGGGTATAGACGGTAGACAGCGATATATGGGGTATTCCTGCACCTCCTTCGGACGATGATGGGAACAAGATGAATGCTCAGGTCCGGAGGGGATATCAACAATCAATTGAAAGGGAAACACCGAGAGAAGGGAGCATGGAGAGGCAAAGTGCACCTTCTTCCACCCCCCTCCCCCTCCCCCTTTCCTACCTCGATGACGGCAACTCATCCATTTCCAGTGTTGACTGACGTCATGGATGTGGGAAATACACGGAGATTAGTACTTCGATACTGAATATATGGCATATGGGAGGCCGTGGAGTTTGGTTGACTGTGTTTTATTGTTAGTATCATGTACCAATGTCATGTATTTGGCGCGTGGCGAAGTACTTACTAAACGGATATACAAACTCGGCAAGCGGGATTACCATGGTTATAGGATAACTCAATCGTTCATCGCTTACAGGGTTGAACTATGTTCCGCGGTGAGAGTTTCAAATATTTCGTATCAATTGCTCATGGGGGCAACTGTAGGGGCTGTTTGTACCTAGCGCCACCCTATGTATAGTACTGCGAAATCTTATTATGAAAGTCAATTGTGCTGAATAAAGCGCAACTATCAGACATACATGACATATCCACAAACTAGTAGGATATTAGAAAAACAACAAGTCATTAATCCCTCATTGACATAAAAAATTAAAGATTGATGCTCCGCCTGGGTTTACCTAACATGAATAGGTAGCTTGGAAGACTGCATGGGGGTCTATATTCCCGAAACAATTTCTGCCTTGGTTTGTCGCGCCATGCCCCGATACAATTTAGTAGGGTTACCATCCCGTCTGTTGGAAGCAAATCGTTAATAGCCCACGCGAGATCCTCACGTGTCCACAATGAAGTCGAGAGCAGACCCCTAAATACCTGCCCCCTATCAGCAATTGTTCAACGCTGCCGGTAGATTGGAGGGAAGTGAGTGTCTGGAGGAACGAACCGGCGTTTGATTTCCCAACGCGCACCTTGGCATATAGAACGTGGGAATAATAATCCCTCGCTCTTTCAATATCCCAAAACAGCAGCGGTATCACCAAACCTCTACAATTATATCCCCAGTCCCCCCCACACACATACCCCCTCCTACCTACTTTACTCCCCGCTCAACCCCCACCACACCCACACTGACACCCCGCAATCGGTTCTCGACACGCATAACGATACCGATACCTATCAGTACAACCCAACCTCGGCGCTCTCGGACAATAATACCTGCTCCGCGGTGGGCAACCCGGATAGATCGTGATCGGGCGTGGATAATAAGTGTACCTGGGACACTCGGGGATCGAAATCGGCTCGCAACGGGGATGGCGTATGCGGCACAATAGCGTGGAGAAAGGGTAGATGCGTATGTTGCGGACGGGGTTATAGTAGTAGTAGCACCGGCAGTGGTTGGTGCGGCAGGTGCAGTGGCGGTTGGATGTTGAGTTGGAACTGGAGGAGCTGGAGGAGCTGGAACTGCTGGAGCTGGAGCTAGAGCCCGAGCAGGAGGAGCAAGAGCACATTGTTGATTGGTTTCCCGGCTGGGGGCGCGAGGCTTGGCTAAGATGTCCAGTTGGGAATTCGGGAGAATGGCTTGATTCGCTGCTTTCCCTGGCTGAAGACGGCGGGGTTGAAATTTCTTTGCTCTTCTCCTGGAGGGGGATTTATGACGTTTCACTTGACGATGGAATCTGAGCAGATCTGTACCAGATATAGGTGGGTTATGTAGAAGTAAAGTGTTCAAAATGATCGATGAACATAGTAGTCTTGGATATTGTAGGAAAGAAAACGAATGTGGTGGTATATGGTAGAAAAACGGCAGCCAAAAGGGCAAATAAAGAAGAACAACAACATATGGGCCATGCATTAGCACATGAGCACACTGTGGCATGCGGCTATATTTAAAATCATATAGAGCTCAACGCGTGGACTCTTTGTCTCTACTCCCGGCGTGCTTGATATTTCTCTGTATGATCGATCAGATATCACGTTATCGTTGTGCGAGCACTGTAGAGAAGGTGTCAGTTTATGGCTCTCCTCAAGGACAAGCACTCCGGACAAAAAAGCACTGGAAATGGTACATGGGATGCCCATTTTCTGAAGCTTTCTCACTCCTCTGTCGATGTATCAGCAGCTACCTGCCCGCATGAAGGTATATGTAGGGGGCATGATGTCTCTCCAGCCACACCTTACCCAGCTGTCATTTTGCACTATCCTGTGCCGAGTGGTTTGTATCACACTCCATAACCATTGCTCCGGATGATTAATATGAGAATTCCTCTATGTGGCGGTTTGATGTAACACCATGGCAGCTACGGCCTGGTATGGTGGTTTGAAGATTGAAGATGGAGGTTTGAACTTTGGTGTGATAGCCTGATAGGGGCACGCGCCAAGTAGCTTGGTCACATGACGAATTCGCGGCTATTCTTTCAAGCGCCATGCCACCGCGCCAACTAGAAGGATCGACGGGATAATTAAACGGAGGGGTTTAAAGTGATCTATGCAGGTACCGAAAATAGTGGTAAATATATTAGCTGCAATAAACAAGAACGAAAAAAAAAAAGGGGGGCATGGCAAAGGAGCGCAGCTGTTGCGCTTATTTGCCGCGGCTGACAATCTGTGGCGGCTGTGTCGAGGCATCTGACTGGTCAGACCCCATGAGCCTATCAGCAGACAGCATCATTCATTCTCAACATTCCACACCAGCCTCGGCGGAGGATGTTATGAACCGGGCATGATGACTGAGGGTAAGTCAGAGGGAAAGGGCTTGATGGCAACTATGGATTAATGGGACTAAGAAGAGTGCAAAAGTTAAAATATGAAGCGTTCTGAGACAGAAGGTCCCAGTTATTAGAATAAACATCACAGGAAGATAGAAATTGAAAAAAGAAGCTGGATTCATTCAAATAAAGCCCGCAAAGAAGAAAGCAGCAAGATGGCTCCTAGTTAACAGACCGAAAAAAAATCCC